TGTACCGCGCTCAAATTCCTCTGCTCCCCTACCCCCAGCGGACCCCGCAAAGGGTCCCCTCCTCCCTTCCGTGGGATCCTTTCCCAAAGAAGTTCTTCCCGGGGCGGGTCCGCGTCTCCAGCGCGGGTGCACCGCGCCGGGCGCAGCCAAAGCGCCTGGAGCGCCCAAGCGATTCCCCAACTTCCTCCCTCTTGGCTCCAAGCCCTGCGGAACTTTCAGGGTGAACCGAGAGGTGTCCGACTTCCAGGCCTGGTCGCGCGCTCCAAGGTTATGGGGGGGGTGCGGGAAACGCGCTTTGCCCCTGCCCTCTCCGCAGACGTGGCTTTGCCTTGGGGAGTTGCGTTGGAACCTGTTCTGCGGGGCCACTACTCCTAGTGGGCTCCGGGCGCCTCCAAGGTGAGGACCCCAGGCTGCAGAGGCGAGCTGTAGTGGCTTAAGCAGCCGTCCGCGGTTCGGCTCCACGCGGGCTCCGGGCGTGTGCGGGGACCGGGTCTTTGCGGCCACGTAGCCTCAGGCTGCCACCTGCCGGTGTCCATCTCAGAGTCAAACCTGAGCTGGTCCGCTTCCGCCCTGGCGAGGGATCTGGTAAAGAGCCCAAATTCTGGCCGGCACGGTGGCTCACGCCTGTAATTCCAGCACTTTGGGAGGCCGAGGCGGGAGGATCGCTTGAGGCTAGGGGTTGGAGACCAGCCTGAGCAACACAGAGAGACCCCGTCTTAAAAAAAAAACACACACATTCTTGAGTTCAAGTACTGCTACTCCGAGGTGAGTCACTGTAGATGGATAGTTACTCCACCTCTTTATACCTCGGTGATAAAGAGTGGGATTGAGGACATAATAGCACCTACCTCTAGGTGTTTTTTGTTTGTTTGAGTTGGAGTCTCACTCTGTCGCCCAGACTGGAGGGCAGCGGCCGCTCCCGGCCACCGCAGCCTCGACCCGCCGGACTCCGCCGATCCTTCCGCCTCAGCCTTCCGAGTAGCCGGAAATACAGGAGGGGCTACCACGCTCGGCTAATTTGTTTTTTTGTTTTATTTTGACACTCGAGTGAGTTCCAGCATGAAAGCCCTTAGAACATTCCTGACCTAAAAAGTTTTCCATGAGTGCTGGCTCTCCTAACAAAAAAGTCAGCATGTGTAACTCTATCCTGAGCATGTTAATTGCATCATCGCATTTAAGCATCCCAAGACTTCTGTCATGTTACTATTGCTGGCCTGCATATTACAGATAAGTAAAAAGGCTCACAGAAGTGAAGTCCTTAAGGTCCCAGCTGGTGTGAAGAGTCATCATTCTCACTGGGGTCTGTAGTCGCTCAACCCTGGCTATTCAAGTAGTCTGTAGACAGCCCAGGGGCACCCCTGGGAGCTTGTAGAAGGGCAGAATTCCCCAGAGTGTCAGGATCTAACAAACAAAAAAACTCACCAAGAACAGGATGCCAGTCCCACCCAGACCTACCGAATTAGAAGCTGCCTTTCTTTCTTTCTTTTTTTTTTTTTTTGAGCCAGAATCTCATTCTGTTGCCTAAGCTGGAGTGCAGTGGCACGCTTACAGCCACCACAGCCTCCACCTGCTGGGCTCAGGTGATCCTTCTGCCTCAGCCCTCCAAGTAGCTAAAACTACAGGCAAGCACCACCACACCCAGTCCTGCTAATGGAAGCTACATTTTAACAAATGCCCAGGAGGCTTGTCTGCACATTAGAGAATCACTGGGTGCCACTGCTGCTTCTTTTTTCTTTTTAACTTTTTAAAATTTCGGACCAAAAAAGAAGAAAAATCTGGGGCAGTGGTGCTCCACGTGGATTGCACATTAGAATCACATGGGGAGCCGGGCTCGGTGGCTCAGCCTGTAATCCCCCGCCTTTGGGAGGCCGAGGTGAGTGGATTGCCTGAGCCTGCGGGTTCGAGACCCGCCTGGGCAACTTGGCGAGACCTCATCTTTACGATAAATGAGAAAATTAGCCGGGTGTGGTAGCGCGCGCCTGTAGTTCCAGCTACTTGGAAGGCTGAGGCGGAAGGATCGCTGGAGCCCAGCAGATCGAGGCTGCGGTGGCTGGGAGCGGCCACTGCACTACAGTCTGGGCGACAGAGCGAGACTCCCACTCAAAAAAAAAAAAAGAATCACATGGGGGACTCACTCCAGATGCCCAGGCCACACCCCAAATCAGAGTCTCTGAGGGTGGAGCTGGGTATCCCAGTGCACAGCCAAGTTGGAGCACCCTGGTGGGTCCTCCAGGAGAACCAGAAGCAGTCACTCCCGGCATGGCAGCACCCCCTTTAGGATAGAAACTGTGGGCTCTTGTGTTATAATAGAATGTTTGAGAGGGAGTTTATACCCACCTGAGGTTGTTTACACCAATAAACCATCCGGTGTTCTGAGAGCTGCTCCAGCATTTCCCATCATGCTCCAGAGAGCATGGAACCCCTGTGTCTTGCAAGGTGTCTGATGCTCCTCCCTGCTTCTTGTCCCTAGGTCACCAAGGAGCTCCCTCCAACTCTCAGAACACATTCCTAACTTGATTTTACAGACAAGAAAACCGAGGCCAGGAGAAGTGGGTGTGTTAGAGTCCCACGGCTCATTAGCATCAGAGGCAGCAGTAAGACCTGTTCCCCTTCCATTTGGCCTCTACCTTGAGCTCCTGTGGGGCAGGCAGAACTTCAGTTTGGTGACAAATCCTAAGAGGTCTCTCTAGGATTCAAGTGACCTTTGGAATTGCTTTTGTGATATAACGAGTTGAATCGACCGTGGATCCTGGACTGGGTCTGTGCAAACTGGAAACTCTGTTCCATCAGTCATTAGTCATTTTGTGATTTGGGGCAAGTCACTTAACCTCTTTGTCCTTCAGTTTCTGAATCTACAAATGAGGATGAAAAATGTCTGCCTCAGCCAGGTGTGGTAGCTCACACTTGTATTCTCAGCACTTAGGGAGGCTGAGGCAGGAAGATTGCTTGAGCCCAGGAGTTCGACAGCAACCTGGGCAACTTAGGAAGATCTCATCTCTACAAAAAATAAGAAAATTAGCTGAGCATGGTGGCGCGCACCTGTAGTCCCGGGTACTTGAGAGGCTGCAGTGGAAGGATCGCTTGAGCCCAGAAGTTGAGGCTGTGATGGTGCCGCACTCCAGCCTTGGCAAGAGCTGGAGTCAAGAGACCCTGACTCAAAAAAAAGGAAAGAGAAATATTTTCTTTATAGGATTGTCGTGAGAGTAAAACAACGTAATGTGCATAAATTGCTCTCAATAATAAAAATGATATTCTGGCAGCCACTAAGGTAAGGCTAACTCCCACCGGGGGGCATATAGTTCTATAAATATTGGGTAGATATTGCATAGATATTTTGTATTCATTTGTTGGAAAAGCATTTACTGAGCAGCACTACCTGTATAATATATGTGTGTGTGTGTGTGTGTGTGTGTGTGTGTGTGTGTGTGTGTGTGTGTGTGTT